AGATCTTGTCAGCGATCTGTAATCATTGATTACTGTTGTAACTTGAAGGACGACAATAGCTTGTCGAGTAAGTTACTTAGAGCCAAACTGACCTCATACCGCCGAGCTCGTGTTATTTTACCCTTACTGGGATGTGATAGTCCGAGCTGAGTGACCTCCGAGATCGGTGCCAACAGGCATAATAGCCACTTTCAATCTCACCTTGTCAATCATTCATAGATCTAGATAGCCATGTCAATATGGTTCGCTAGCTCAGGCTCGGCCCGAAAAAGCCTGAACAGGCCTAGTCCCCCCGGTCGGCCGTGTCACGGACCATTTCGGCCTATGAAGCTAAAAAGAAAAAAAAGCTTACCGTTGTAATTTTTTTATATGTTAATATTTAGTTATTATTTATAATACATATAAAATGCACAAATTTTAAATTCTTTATAAAAATTTTAGATTTGTCAGGATTTTTTTTTTAAAAAAGGCCGGCTCGACTCGTTAGGGCCCAAGCCAAAAGCTCGAGTCTAGCCTAAATTTTTTTGCCGAGCTTTTGCTCTACTCGGCTCGTTGACACTCCTAAATCTAGACCATGTTTAACTAAAATAAAATTTACTTTTAAGTAACTCTTTTTTTTTTTTTAAGAAGTCGGTCTATATCTATTTTCCAAACTAGTACTCTTAACATTTTTTTCGTTCTATTTTTATTTTAAAAAATGGCTAAATTTTTCTTGTAAAAAAATTGTTCACGTGAATACTATAAAGTACTATTTTCTACTGTATGTGAATAGTGGTACTGTTCACGTGAACAATTGCTCAATTTGTATCATAATTCAACATAAGTATTTAATAAAGCAGATGTCGTGGGTTCGAATATTGGAGGACTTTAAAGATTGCACGTGTTATTGATGGCGTTTAATTTTTTTTATTACACCTAGATTTTCAATGATATTACTCTAGTATATGGCGTGCTATATTATTAATACATTGTTCATCAGGTTAAAATGAGCTTGTTTTGACTAATGATGATTGGACAATATGGATGTTGTTTTATAATCAGTTAAATATTTTTCTTACAGTGCGGGAGTAAAGAGTCTTCTCTATTTCAAGTGTATCACGGTGGAAAACAAATTCAAAAATATTTACGTCGTTTACTTATGATTTTTGTTCTTACTCGTGTTCCACCTCCGACTCAAGTTACGAGGAGCATTGTTTGAAGTTAATTTAAAATAATTTAAACTTCTCTTTGGAAATAAATATTTCCCCCATACATGATAAAATAATAATATTATGTAACTCGTACTCCGATTCAAACTACATAATTTTTTCTTAGTTCTAAATGTATGATAATTGTTGACCTTGTTTTTTATGAGAGGCGTGGTAAACAGATCCCGATTCCTCTCGTGTCCACGTAACTTTCTTCATGCACAATTGGATAAACTGTTAGAGCATGTGGCCATCTCGTGTAGTGAAAGAGGTGACAACGAGTATTCCAGTGGTCAAGTCGGTGTATTTTAGAATAAGTATTTCAGTGTGGAACGTGCTAAATACGTGAGCCACGATTATAGGGGTTCAAATTCGAGAGTGTATAGAGAGAAATAGAGAAAACAATGTTATAATTGAATGAATAAAATTGTATTGTATTCAAATGACACTAAGTGTGAGCTTTTATAATAACATGAGAAAAATAATAATCGTTGGATGAAGAGACACGTGACCTTATCTTTGGCGCGTTGTCAAAGCGTCATTCTGTCAGTCATCAGCTCAAGCCCATGTAATGATCTGACCATTTGCAGCCTTATGGTCCAGCTTGTAAAGACTAGACTTGACATTTTGACTTGGTAGAGTCGATGCTGCAGTGAGTAGTCACATCAATCAATCATGAAAGATCTTGTACGGAATATCCCTGTAGCGCCTCACTTCGTCCTAAAGGTGACTTGGTAGAGTCAATGTTGCATTGACTTGGTCTCGTCATAAAGGTTGGGGACCCTTCATAGGGGTTCGGCAGAATTGCTACCTAGGCCTGGTGATGTAGAGAATAGACCTGGGTTCGCTCATTACGTGGTTGTTATGTGATCATTTTTTAGTCTCGCTTGGACGATACATAACAATAGTCCCTCAAGTCCATATAATGTGTGAACTTTTCTGGGTTCAAATGTGTTGTCTTGTCCATTTTGCATGTTCTATTTCTGAGGAAGCAATGCCTTGACATGGAATATTTTGCTTTGAATGAATTTGTGCCTTTTTTACCCTTCTTTGAGCGAGAATAGATAATGTCAGGTGTGGAGCCAAGATTCAATGTTATGGGGGGGCAAAAAATTTTAAAAATTTAATATACAAATAAAATTTATATATAACAAGAAAAGTTGTAATATACCATTACCTATTACAGCTCTACCCGACGATCTTTTACAGAATAAAATTTATCTACAATAGAATCTAGATCTTAATTCATAGTAAATTCTCATTCAATGTATAGTGTCAAACAATCAACAAGAAAACCATCATCCATTTTGTTATGAAGTTTGGTCTTTCCTGAAAGATTATAAATTCATTCATATCCAAAATGTCATAAATTCATCTCTCTATTTTCCATCCCGACTTAAATTCATTCATATTGTAAGAAACTAGATTTTATATCAGTAGGCACCTTTTGGCTTCTGATCAAGCATAGGTTGCAAATGAAATAAGTTCCAGAATTTCTTGCCTACATTTTTTTTTTATTTCCAAAAACAAGTGAAAACCTAGAATTATTTCAACTACATTAGGCAACAATGACAAGGTAAAAACCAAAAAATTCCACAAAGGACATCTTGCATGAGGGATAGGGAAGAACAGCATTTAATATGGAAGTTTCACAAAGAAGAAATCTTCATACCTGCATTTCCTTCCCAAAATATCTTCATGTGTATATTTTGTCAATAGCTGCAATTTGCTGTTGATGATCGATGATAGACAGTCAACAACTCCGATGGGCGAGTGGACCATGGATAGGAAAATATTTAGGATTAAAAAGAACTTGGGAATTTCAATTTGGTTTTCATAAATTTCAAATAACGGGTTGAACTTTGAAGAAATAAGAAAGAAATGAATCAAATGAGCCTGGGATGGGCTATGGACTAAAATTAAACGAGTTGGTTTTAAGATTTGGGCCAAGAGTTAAAACAAATGGCAACTTACAAAAATATCCCTAAAATTTAAGGATTTTTTGAAAAATCATATGAAAAGATTTTGAAAGTAAAAAATATTGTGTAAAATTAAGTGTCACTTATATCACTTTTTAAAATTAAGTGTCGTTTTTTTAATTAAAAAAGACATATAGTGTCATTTTTATTAA